TCTTCCAGATACTCCTCTCTTGCCTTGCCGTCGCTACCATTTCTACAATATATATATATATATATCGATCTGTATATACATATATTAATTTGATATACATGCTTTGTATTCAGCAAATAGATAGACACCAAATCTTAATTGTGGTATATAGTAACCTCATGTTTTCGCTATACTGTGATCTCATCTCTGTGTTTCTGGCCTTTCAAGAGTGGATTCTTTTCACCGACTGCCCAGTGACCCACCCCCACCGGCACCCCGGTCTCCACCGGTCTGCACCGCAGAAACTGACGCGTCGCGTCGCGTCACGCGTCGCCCTTTTTTCGGCGTCGGCCACGGACCGCAGTGCAGACCTCAGCTCCTCCAGCACCGCAGGGCGCAAGCGCGGTGGCGGACCGTCCTCGCAGTGCACCGGGCATGAGGAAGCCCCCCTCGCTGGTGGACTGGTCGTTCGCGGTAGACCAGGTGGACCAGGTAGACCAGGGGCTCCAAGTGGTTTTGACCCATGGCCATGTCATGGCCATGTCATGAAAGTGGGGGCAAATTGACCTGGAGCTGCCTGGCTGAAAACTGTTCCTTCACTTGTCATCATGACTCATCGACCTTCCACGCAGCGGCACGGGTGACACGTGCATCCTCCAACCCTTCACCTGGTCAGACCTGGGTGACACGGGTGACCGGACTTCAGCGCATGGAGCCTTGCATGACCCGACCGTCTAAATAAGCTCGGATGTTTCACATGAAAGATCCATGAAAGCAAGAATCACTCTGCTGCTTGGTCTAGACCATGCTTGTCCAAGAGCTTCTTTTTCAACAAAGAACTCTCCAAGACGTCGCCAATCGGGGCACCTTTTCACTGAGGTCTGCTGGCTTCCACCATCTGCCGGCTCAATCCCGTCCAATTCCAAGGGTGTCCCGGACCCACCCGTCACATGGACCTACTTAGGAAGCCGGGACTGAGCGAAACCGAGGAAAGGGACTAGACATGAGGACTGTGATCCCTTCCGAACCCTCCCCAAGCAAAAAGGACTTGCGATGTCTTGAGGTGTCAAATAAAAATCCATCAAAAGTCCCTTAGACTTGATTCTTGATGTGGATCCATCAAGTTCTTGGGCTTTTCCACTCCTCAAACCTTCCACCACCAGGACCACAGGCGGATCAACACCACTCTCGACTGCGCAGTGTCCATCTGGGTCTGGACGCTTCCACCAGCGCCAAAGCAAGGAAACCTCGAGGCCGCCGCTTCGAATCGCCCGAAACCACCACACAGAGGGACCCCTTCAAGTCATGGGAACGGTTCACCACCCGTCCCACCCGTCCCATCTCCCCTCCCATCGCCCCTCCCATCGCTCCCGCCATCGGCTCCAGGTCACGCCAGGCGCCACCAAGCACAGGGCCCCAGGAGCTGCGCCAGTTCTTCACGCCAAGTGCTCCGGTAGTCTCCAGGCTCAAGGCAAAAGACCTGCCCCCGATGAGGCTTTCTGATCCTTTCTTCGCAACATTCGTGGAGTCGAGTTAGGAGCGAACATCGTGGTGTTCAAAAAATGGTTCAATTGCAACTTAATACCCAAAAATCAGATTTGGGTCGGGTCTTCTAGCAGGAGCGAGGCTCAAAAACCATGTCGCTCAACCCAACTCTCATGGCGGGGAAGCGGAGAGCACCTCCACCCGAGATTGACCAGCCGGATCCGATGAGAAAAAACCTCCTGCCTTGCTCCCGGGCAGCTGGATGATGGGAGCTTTCAGGGTCTCCAACACAGTGATGCCCTGAAAAGCCAAGCCTTGGCCGAACACAGGGATGCACAAATCACGCGCGCACGAGATTTGCGCACACGGAAAGCGTGCTCAGGTGGACCACATGGGGATATGAACTCAGATGTGATGAACACATATGAACACATATGAACACCACAAGAGAGCAACTTCCCAGTAATCAACCACTGGGTGCTGTATTATCTGTAGAAACCCCTTAAATCATGTCAGTGACTGTCTCTGCCATAGCTCCAAGTCCTCTGGCTGCAGCCTCCTCTTGGCATGATCTTCACGGAAACGGCTTTGGGCCAAGCTGATGCTAGGAACCCTTAGAACTCTTGGCTCCCAAAGTAAGTCGACTTTTGGCAAAAACCCCAAGAAAAACCTCCTAGCCAAGAGATTGAAAGCCGTAGAACCGTAGACATCGCAGTGACGGGGAGAAACCGGTTCTGGTCCTCAGCTCGAGTGACGGCCAGCTGACGTTCAGGCGATCCGACGTTCGCCAGAAGAACGGGGGAACCTCTGGTGTCGTTTGTGGCAACTGGCATCACCGGGTGAAACCTCAAGCACTCCCATAATTCATCCACACCCACCACACCCCACCACCAGTTCCGAGCTCAGAAACGCACGTGCCGCAGCAGTGGAAGCAGCAAGAAGAGCGCCGTGATCGTCAACACCAACAGCACTGTGATCTCACTCCCCAGCAGGGCCTGACCCACCAAACCATGCACCAGAAAAGCACCGTATGTTTTTCAGGAGTCCGTGGACCCAAACCGCCAACCCTGCCCCCCCCCTCCCCGGTAGATCCTGCCAGATCCTGCCGGATCTTGGAGGAGCCGTACGGGCAAACCCAAGCGGGCTCGGAAGCTCCGCCGGCTCCCCGGGTCGGGGTTTGGTGGTTGGGAGCTCAATAGATGATGTCGACAGCATCTGCACACTGCAAAGAAGGTTTGTAATAGCACTTGGGGGTCTGCGCACATCTACTTAAAGGCAGGTCATTGATGATTGATGTCCGACTGAATCATGTCATGCGTCCATGCACTGCGGCCTGATTTCGGGCAGAAGGCCATCTATGGATTTGCAGCACCCGTACCCGTCAGCTACTCGTACCGGTCATCGACCGTCCTAAGGAGATCGTAACGATCCATGGAACTCCTCCGTAGCAGGAATGGAGATAAGACCTCCAGGTTTCTTCATGTCACTGCAAGAGAACAAAAGAATATCAGATCATGGCCGTTTCAACTCCAGTCTTAAAGTTAAACTGGTCGAAGGACGGAACTCCCCCTATATTAAACATGAATTTCGGATTGACATTCCTCGCGACGCAGGCGGAACCTTTTCATCCTGTCGCGACCAATCATCGCGCAGCACTGAGCTCGGCGTTACACGCTCAGGAGAACCTGAGCAGCACGCCATTTCCGGAGTGAGGTCTCAGGTGGTTTGCGTCATCAAGATCTTTCGGGTCGAGGGCGTTTGCTTGGGTGTACATAGTGAGGCATTCACTGTACACCAGTGGTGTCAGGCGACCCGACACTATAATTACACCCCAAAAACGACCCGACATGGGTGTACACCAGTGGTGTCAGTATCGCTTTCCAATAATTTACTAGCACAGCTAAGCTACAAGCCGCTTTCTCGGGAAGATCGGCTGACTATTATAATATCCATAAGTACAACAAACTACAACATCTATACATCAACAGTGAACACGTTGAAGCCCAATGACCCCCATCCCTCCAACCGTTCCGACCGCAGTTGTTTCACGCACACAGCCCACCCGGGATCGCCTCCGATCTGCCCTGCGGAAGCCGCGTTTTGGGCGTCGGCACGAAGGGTGGCAAGGGCCAAGCGGGTTGTCCTTTGATCCGCGGTGGCGCCAGCGGCGCTTGCGCCAACTCTTCATGCTCTGCAGCCTTCCCGACCTCCACGCCGAAGCAGCGGCTCGAGCTGCCTTGAACCTGGCAACGGCAAAGGAGGGGTTCTTGGTTCTTATAATTAGGGGAGATGTTCAACCAAAGCCAGTTATAGCTGCGAAGAATGAATTCACCACAGCCACTAAACCTCACTGCGACGCAGAACCGCCAATGCAGAACCCTCCACCCATCCCACCTCAAAGTGTCCCTCGCACATGGCGTCGTACGAGACGCCAGGCACATCGCCTTCGACGCCTCGAAACATGACTCGAGCTGCCAAGAGCCGTTGGCTCGTGTTGCTTCCCTTGGAGGAGGCGCCGATGTAGTTGCCTCGTTTTCAAAACACGTGGCGCGGGCGGAAAACGGCGGCGCACGTGAAGAGAACGGAGGCCCGTTTGGGAAGAAGTGTTGCTTAAGCCACAACTCATGACCAGGAAGGTCGTTTGAGAGGATGGTTGATGTGGAGGAGTCAATAGTCATGAGTTACAACCCAATGTAACCGCCACCATCTTGAGCATCTCTGGACATCCTTTCGCACCCGTGATCTGCGACGAAAGAACTCGTGATCTTCCATCCCCTCTTGGACCCCTCCGACCCCCCGACCACTCAGCAGCGGTGAGGCGCTGTAGGCATAGAGAGCGATCCAACTTTCGCCCCTGGCGGCATAGCCCCCACCCACCACGCTGGAGTAGCCGAAGGAATCGGTGCTGCAGGAGTTCGGGAAGTCGTTCCTGCCTGAGGACGCATCGAACGGCGCGTGGCTGCCGTTTGGACGAACGGTGCGTGGCGTTCCGCGGCGTGGAAGCGATCGAAGCGTGACGGCTCCAAAGTCTCGAAAGTGGCTCGATGAAGCCTAAGCTTAATAGGCTTCCTGGCCCACGAATTCGGCGGGTCATACCGAATCAACTAAGGATTTTTCACTACAAAAACCAGGTCAACCATGTGTTTAATGGTCTTGGAAGTCTAGGGTCATATAGATTTGCTGTTCACTCTTAAGGATCTTATCCAGGATAGATTGAAAATCGAATGAACATTTACTTGCTCCACTGCAGTACCTTCATTTGATGCCATGCAGCTCATGCTGATGTCTTCAGCAACTGATAAGATATGATAAGATACTTGGGTGCTTGGCAGGGGATTCATACAAGTCGGTTTTGCGCAGATCGGTAATTTTCCTGATGTTGGGCAGTCTCCGCCATCATACTCTGCATGGATACTTTGTCAATGTCTTCCATGGATTTGTCAAGCCACTGTTGAGCCGCGGTCCCAGCGGTTCTGCAGGTCCCGCCACTGGTGTTCTATGTCGAAAGCCTCGTCAAAAGCCACTAGGTCACTAGGTCTGAGGAAATGGACGCTCTATCTATCCCCTCTCAAACCTCTTTCTTGGCTTACACCCGGGAAGATTAACCCGGAACCTAAACATGGACCTTTGGAAGACAAGTTCCCTCTACACCCCAGTGGTGTTCAGGTTCCATGTTAATCTTCCAGGGCGTACATCTCATGTCTTTGGTGGCTTTCACCGCACTCAGGGAAGTGAAAGCTGCTCCAGTCGAAGCTCACAGCTAGCACAACACGTTCAGGACATAAGTTGAAATCTGCTGCATCCTCGCTGCAACATGCAGCCCAGCACTGCCCCGGCAACTCACGCGCAGGGTGCCAGCTAATGAACCCCTTCTCTTGAAAAGAAAAAGGACACCTAGCCTAGCCTTTCTGGCCGCCAAGGTGCTAAAGCTTTTGTCGCCCTTCACACAGTCAAGCACAAAGGCTGTGCATAAGTAGCTGGTCTTCACACCGGTGCTATCACACATCGTTCGATTGGATCTGTGCGGCGTTGCTGCTCTGATCTGGTGAATCACACTCTCAAAGATTTCCTCAACTGCCCAAGGCACCACAAAGGAAAACAAGAAGCATGTCATGTGAAAAAAAAAAAAGATGTGTGTCTATGCCACGCAAATCGTCAACTTTGGGAATTGGAAATACTCGTGTCTTTTCTTCCGAGAATCCCGGATTTGAATTTATGTAGTTTCCAGCGAAAAGCACGCACACAAGTAGAAGCGTCATGAAAAAAAACGTTCCCACTCTTGATGTAAAAGCATGTATATAACTGTTTATTGGTGTCAATATCGATATAAGTCTGTCTGTTTCATTCTTAAAACCCACAAGTTTGCAACAATTTTTGGAGGGTTTCTGATGCTCAAGCAAGGGCTCAAGTTCTTCGAAGCAATATTTGAAACACCCTGGCACATAGCCTGTCCCCAACGGTGGAAGGCGAGCTTGGGACACATTTGCTTGCCTTAGAGGCACATGTGCAGTGCTTTCATGGGTCTGTCACGAGCTACTGAAGGTGATCTCCCAGTGTGGTGGTGCTTCAATCGAAGCTTCCTTAACTCTTTCAGATGTGTTTTCCACTAAAACGACATCAAATCCAGCGATGTTGTGTTGGTTTTTGCACTATGTCGAACAGTGAGAGAAAAAATCAATGAAACATCCACCTCCACAGCTGTTCAACCCGTGAAGGACCGTGGTGCTTGTTAGGTTATCCCAATGTTTATCAAAGATGGCATCGCGCAAGAACAACTATAACTATCAAAAACAGCAATAAAGAAGAATCGAACCTCAGTTGCCACTTGCAATCCTTCTCCAAGTTCAAGTGCAACTTGCCCAAGCAGCTGTGCTGTTCAGCTGAAGCGGCCACAGCCAAAAGAAGGGTCGCCAGCAAACATCTACTCATCATGGCTGCAAGGTGCGGCAATAATTGCTTGAGCTTCAAAAAGGGCAGCTGAACAAAAAAGCCCTGCATGCAGGAACTCCGACATAAATAGAAACGATGTCCTATATATATATACATACATAGTATTTCTTGCAGAGGAGTTATGTCCTATCTATTCTGGGATCGTTATTCTTATCTATTCTGGGATCATATACCAGGAATTTCGCTCATAAGTCTGCCACCCTGCCCATTCGTCTGTGCATCTTAGCGTTCGTGCAATTCTGTGCTGGAAAATCACCGAAAATGCTTCGGGAGCACCTTCAGCATCTCAGCACAGTCGAGATTGTTCGAAAAGGACACAAGCCCGGAGCCCGAGCCGAGCGCGCTCCAAGCCGACCCAGAAGACAGAATTATATCAGCTGGTATTGGCTCGGTGTGCAGACTGTTACCCGCTCACCTAGCCGCCCCATCTCTCCATTGATGTACTTTTCCTCTCATCTCTCGATTATTGGGAGCCCTATGACCACCCTTCATGTGCTTTGCCCGAAACCAGTGAGCAAACCCTTACAATCACTACCCCGTCGATGCACATACACGTGTGGCACAGCACGTGTGAGCCAGTCGACCAGTGCGCCTTCAAAACATGAAGGTGTCCTCCCAGTAAGAGCCACTGATAGTAACTGCCCCGCTTTCGCGCATAGTTGGCCTTAGACAGTGACCCAAATTTTATACAGCTTCAAAACGGCTCTGGGTTGCAAACTGAAGCAATACAAAGCTGGATGGAAGACATCTGGTAGTAAAAGGGAAAAGAATTGCCCAAAACAGTATCCATAATAGGTGTCAAAAGCTCAAGAATAATCGCGGGACAAAACACAACAACCAATCAACTGAAGAGTCGGAACTCTTGACAACATGGCTTCAACGTTGACCCATGTTGACCCACATCCTAAAGAAAAAAAGATTTGTCCGCTTCCTCTATCAGCTTCCAAAGCTTTAGCTTTTCCTCTATCTCCTCCAAAGCTTTAGCCCTAACTATATCTTTGTTTTTGCTGTTTTTGCTTTTCTGTGTTTCTGGTAGCGATGACCTCCAACCTACTAGCGATGGCCTCCAACCTAATAGCGATGGCCTCCAACGTAGTATTAGTAGCGATGGCCTCCAACCTACTAGCGATGGCCTCCAACCTAGTATTAGTAGCGATGGCCTCCAACCGAAAAGCACTTCCAAAGCTTTAGCTCTATCTCATGGCATGGTTTGGGAAATCTTCTCCGATACATCCACGTCTGGAGTCTGGAGTTTCCCTGTGACGTTCAACACATCAAAGCAGTTTGGTCCGTTTGCCGTTTCCTCTCTACAGCCCACGCCACAGGTGCTCGATGCTGGACAAGATGTGCAACAGAACTCTGTGAGTCAAAGATTGGGCGAGTATACTGAGGAAGAAAATGTCTAGCCAGGATTCCATGAACTCATTACACCATGTGGTGAAAAGCCACAAACCAACGATTTCCACTTGTACACCTCATGTTGGAACAGAATTGTCTACCTAGGATATTACACCATCTCCCAGACTCGATTGCACATCCTTGCTTCCAAAGCCACCAATAAAGAGAAGAGCTCCCAGTAAGGCTTCCAAGCGAGCCAGAACACATAGCCAACCATCAGCAGGGCATACCTTGGGGTTGGACTCTGGATGAATGGATACATAGCTGGGCCGCCTACCAGGCCTACCACAAACGCCCAGTGACAGGGTCATCGCCCCACGATGGGAGGCTTTTTGGACCGAGTGCTCCCGAGAATCACCGCAGCGTTCGATCTTCTATTTTTGCTCTTCCTAGTAACACCGTTTTGGGGCGCAGCATTGGGGAAGCATCCCTCCGTCCCAATCTGGGTTTCGTGAACGAAAAACCGCTTGCCCTGGGCTCTCTGGGCTCTGGTAGCTTTGAGACCTTCAGACTGCCGACCGCCCACACGGCCACGGACCTCGGTCCCGCGACGACGGACGGATGGGCCGCGGGATGCTGGATGATGCGTGTAGAAACAAGTGCATCGCTACTAGAAACAAGTGCCTTACTAGTAGTAACAAGAAGCTACTAGGAACAATATATAAATTAGAATTAACAATTCTTCTTCTTGTTGGGACATTGACTGACCATCGCCAGCGGCTTGGCGACACAACCTGCTGCTTGAGCAGCGCCCCCCCTCGATGTGCCGTTGGGTAAGGACATTGACCGGTTTCCCTACCAAACCTTGTGGCACACAGGAAGCCCCGCCGCCGCCGGTCTGACCGAAGAGGCCCAAGCTGCGCGAGGCCAAGAAGACCGAAGAGGACCATCAAAACAAAGTAGCCATGGTTCCTGGCTTAGCAGGTTCTTAGTAGGTCGTGGATGGGGCCGACCCGTCGACCCAAGTGGTGGCTCACACATTGTATGAAGTGATTCGAGACAAGCTCCGCAGGTGCCTCCTTGGCGGCGCCCTGCTGTTTGTGGATAGAATCAGAAGACATCTCTCCAATGAATTTCCCTCAAACGCATGACCTCTTAGTCTGCCGGGTAGAGTCATTTTGTTCACTTATTGTAGGGCCCCAAGCTGTGGTCCTTCCACGTGCACAGGGATGTTCAGCCACCAGAACACTTGCACCAAGAGACCCCAAAGGTGCCAATGGGGTGGTTTTGAGAATGTTTTGACCCTAAGTGAGTGGATGTTCTGGGCACACCAGAACTCCTCCATTCGTTCAGCACCGGAACTGCTGGTAGGGTCATCTCCTCTTTGGGCCAAGCTAAGTGGGGCACACCTGTTATTTGCTTTGGCTCCGAAAGTTTGCCATGGGTTCTTCACCAACTGAGCAAAAGCTGACTGGTGCGACTCGTAGAGAATGAGGGAATGACCTGCCTTGTGAAACACGCCATGGATCCATTCCCTTGTGAAACACCGTCCCAACATCACCGTCCTTTGACCAATGACGTTTTCAGTGATGACACCTTGCCGAAGACGACGACGGCGAGACGCACATCGACTGAGCTTGCACAGCCCAAACATCGAAAGCTGCCTTGTTGATAGGGATAAGGCTACCAACCAAACGGTCTCATCATGGCCAGAAGCACATCGTCAGCGCCCGGGACGACACATGGCCATAGCGATATGTCCTCTACAGACCTCACCAGAGTTTACCTCGTGACCTCACCGTGTTTGGGGTGTTGGGACGTTTTGCTACACTGAGACTCGGGCGTTCTGTATCACGTCCTAGCTACAAGCGCCTTGTCCAAGATAAATACACCTGGACACCCTGCTTAGCAAGAAGGTGGTTGTTGATTGACCTACAAGAAGTGGGGGGTGAACTTCTGCAAGAAGCTGAGCTCCTCCAGGCGCTGGGCGGATAGCGTTGTTTCTGACACCGCACTGTTCTGCATACCAAATTACAAACCTAAGTGTCTTTCTCCGTTTCTTCAGCCAAATCATTGAACTGGACTGGGTTCACTAGATGAGACGCAAAGTCAAGACCTTGTTGATGTTTTGAGGGAAAAACCGCTGAAGCTCGACGCACCTCTCCCATCACTCCCAACACCCCAAACCGACCGGACTAGACGGTCCGGACCGACCGTTTTCGTGGGGATCGCGTGGGTGTTGATGAGACGAAGCAAAAGACTTCCACTGTAGAGCATCCCTTTGATTGAAGGGAATTGACCACCATTCTACCCTATTCTGCCTATTATATGACATCAGTGACTATAGTGACTAGTGATGTTGAATGCCTAAGAGGGGAGATCCACGAGAGGAAACATCCCACCCAACTCCGGTGTTCGTACCACAGGTTGGTGTGGCCTCGTAAAAGCACGCAGATTGTGAAGCGAAGAAAACTGGCCTACACATCCGGCCTAAAACACATAGCGTTTTGAGACCATATCTGCAGCCGATCTGCAGTAGTGGTCCATGCGAAGGACGCACTGGTTCAGTCGCTTGCTGTGATGGCAGCGGGGTGGCTTCCTGAAGTTTTGACCCAACCGATGCCAGGAAGAGAATGGGTCCATCCATTGTCTGTAATTAGCCGTGCAAGTGGTCCTTTTCGGTCGTGAAATGGGCCATCGCTACCGTGAGAGCTATGGAGGACGCAAGACAAGAGAAGTCCATGTGGTCCATGCTCCTCATGGCGGTTCGGGCGGTTCTGGGGACGGAGATAGGGAGGTGGTGATGATATGCTGCCCAAAGCCTACTACCACATGTAGGCATCTCATCTCAGAATTAGGGGCCCCGCTCTCCTGCTAGGTTCTTGTTCAAGATGGGCATCTCATCTCAGCCCTATGTGATCCGATGTTGATGGCAAGCCACTAGGATTTGGAGCTCCAGGTGTGACCCATCCAGCCCATGACACATCCAGCCCTGTCCACCTGAAATCCATCCAGACAGACTCTGATCCACCTGACACCTCTTGACCCATCCAGGTGACACCTCTTGATACATCCAGACTGTGTCCACCAGTCTCAAACCGGGCTCTCCAGACGGCCGTCTCCAGCCAGGTCTCCAGAGTTGGCAGCTCTCGCACCAGCGGGGCTCATAAGAGCCCAGCTGCGGCTCAGAGGCCTCGACCAGCCAGCGGCCCTCCTGGAAGCGACGTTCGGGGCTGGTCGAGGCCACAAGAAGCTACGTTCGGGGCTCCTGGCATCGCTACGACTACTCGGAGCGATCGGACGCGAACCGAACGGGGCGAACCTGGCCGTACTACGAACGGAGCATTCTTACTACGAACGGAACAAGGAGCTACGAACGGGCCAGGGGAACTACACTCGTGAGACTCAACTCATATGGACCCTCGGACCATTTTCCTCCAGCGACGGCATCGCACGGAAAAAACCCGTAGACCGACCTGGTCAAAGAACCCGGTGGGTTATGGAAAGACCTAACCTAACATGGACCCTGAGCATGGCACCCTTGGATGACCATGTTCCATCATTTTCCTCTACAAGCCAGTGGTAGATCTGCTTGAGAGTGGAGTGAAGCACTGTAATGCAAGTCCAAGACTAATTACAATTCTGAGATGCTGATATAGCCAAGTACACTTTCTAAAGAATCCAGCTGATCTTTCACTCTCCACATCCTATCTTTGCAATGATACAGTATATCCCGTGGCGTTGTTCAGCCAAGAACTATCCACAAATACTGTGGCCACGAGAGATCTCCGTGTTTGTGTCCAAAGAACAATCGCTTGTCAGGCCCTTCGAGGGTCGATTTGCCCATGTCCCACCAAACCGCTCAGATCTATGCCCATATGCCACCCCAAGACTGCCGTGGTGACTGAAAAGGTGTGTTCACCCAATTCAAGAAACCGGTTACACTCCCTGGAACTAACATGGAAGTGGAGAATGGCCCCTTGGAAGACCATTTTCCACTACAAACAGGTGGTTTCCCACGTCCATGTCAATTCCAGGGAGAGTCAATGACTCAGATGTTCACAACAACGACCACTTCGCAGCTGGCCTTCGGCCCAGCTCTTTCTGGAGCCCCTGGAATGTCCAGGGGTCATGGGTTTGGACCAGGTGGAGATGGTGTCCATAGTTCAAAGAAACTCAGTATCGATCGAACATCAGCATCCAACCAATTGGAACCATGAGTCAATTGACGATATGATATGTTTCTCATCAGTTATAACAATTGAGAACATCAGTATCCAACCAATAGAAGCCTTATGAAACCTTGAATATCCTTAAAACACAGTTGTGGCCATCGATGTTCCTATCATGGGGACAGCTTGCCAGTGTCCAATCCAATTTTGCGTTTTTGGAGATGCAAAAATCGAACAATTCCGCTTTGCTACACCAGCAACCAATGGTTCGGTGGAGATAGACATTTTAGTTGTATCGTCCGCCCACCCAATGTATATAGCGAGGGCATGCGAGGGCTACAGTGGCTACAGACTTGGATTGACACTCAGAAGACTCCGAATCACTCAGAAGCTGGCCCAATGAGGTGAGAAAAACATGATGCGGGGAACATCTTTGTTCGGAAGGTGATCATGCGACCCCCCTGCTCCACAACGAGTGCCACGAGTGCGGCCAAGAACCAAATTCAGTTCCTTTGTGGTCTTCCAATGGAAGAGAGGCGTTGTTCCACCACAAGGAGTGTATGACCAAGCTGCCCTGCATCTGGTATCTGACTGCGATAGGAAAACACTCCAAAACACCAATGTGAAAAAAATCTTCGGACTTGCCGTTAGTTCTCCCGTTGGTTCTCCCATCGCCACTCGCAGCCAGCGCCTGGTTCTTCAAAGCATGACTTCACAAAATTGTACCTCACAGGAGACCGCTAAGATGCTTTCTTCAGCACAGCATCATTTGCTCGTACTTGCTCATGCACTGTAAATAAGTGATTGATCCCTCTCGTTGGTACGGAACAAGAACAAGTGCCTAGGCTGAATCGGGAAAGTCACTTAGAGCACCTTCTTGTGCATATTTGTTGTGCGAATTCTTTGAAGGCCTCACCAAGATGTTATGCGGGCACGGGCATGGGCAAAGGAGGTGTTCGAGCTCAAACTACGAAATGTTGAAATATATGTTATTGTGTGACTGACACTGCTGTGACTGTGACTGTGCATCTGTGCATCTGTGACTTACACTTCCTGTGCATCTGTTGCTTGCTTTCTAAATGCACGTAACACGGAAGATGCTCCTCACAAGTTCCTTTGTTGATCTTGAAAGGGGCGTGATATGGGTCTGTCGAACCACTTGAGATGGGTCCCAAAACTGCTTGGCACTTCTCCCTTCGCAAAGAACTGAGGGGGAGCTTCACAAGGGCCTAACTCATGATTTCCAAACACACCCACACCCACATACCACCAAATCCACCGAGCGGCATGAACTGCAGGGTGACCCACACTGCCAGCATGTAATGAAGTGCATCGAGCAAGCCGCTTTCGGCACCTGGGATCACCAGCAATGAACAGGCAAACTCCACCCAAAAGTTTCACTTCCCGACATCCACCAAGACATGTTCGAATCAAATCGATTTTAGTCTAGGGGGTAGACCTCAAACCAACAAATGTTCCCCAAAACACTGACCTCTTGTATCCTTCCGGTCAAAACCAATTCATCCTGCACGCATCATAGCTGAGTGATGTGATGTCAGCTGTCAACTCCATATTATACGCCCTTGTGGGCGTGTATTGAAATAGGGAGACCTCCCAGTTCTACCCCCAGGAATGTTCGGAAAACAGACCAGTCTACCCATTGCTTGGAAGTCTCCCTATTGAAAAAACACGCCCATGTTCCGTATACCAGCCGCTGGTTTGCAGGTGGGAGACTTCTTGGATCTCCGGATGGATGACCCTCTCACCCTGTTCCAGCCTCCCTGGTTCCACAGCAAGAAATCAAATCAAAAAGATGCAACACATGGGTTTGTTTCGTCCACGTGCGGCTCCTGCTCACAGAAATCTCCTCAAACCTCGCCTGCAAGTTGATTTGCTACGCGCACAAATCCGTTTTGACGGATTCGAGACGAACACGACGGTCTTCTCGGGATGCGAGAAGCTGTGCACTTCGGGTGAGAACAGCGGGGGTAAGACCCCTGTTTGCAGGGTCGCGACAAGACCGCTGGGGATCCCTGAGGATATATTGCTGTGGAATTGCTTAAGCAGCATCTTGTTGCTCCAAGTTCTCCATACTCAAGACTCGAACTGGTCTGTCTGAGGGTGAAACCCCCTCCGGTTTTTCTCGCACCCAAGTGGATCAGGACCGCAAAGGATCAGTCCGAAGAAGTCCGAACATGAAGTGGTTGGACTCTTTGATGCGTTGGGAAATGAAAAACATCGACCCACAGTCAGACCATCTAAAACCGGCGCAACAAGTCTTGATCAGCACCACCGTCTTAAACATCAGTCTTAACCAGCCCAGGGGAGGATCTTAACATGGTAACTCCTCGATGTCGTCCAGTATTACCACAAGGCCGCACGAAAAGATCAAAGCTCCCTGCCTGGATTGCTGTAGCAGGCCCTCCAGGATTCATGCTGCAGGGATGGCTTCAAACACTCCGCGCCCTTCCTCAGATTGGGACTCTGATGGGCTGTAGGACTGAGGCAGGGTGGTACTCGGCAAAAGGTGCTTTGTCTACCAGGGGTCACATGGAGTTGGTGGTGTTTAGTCCCATCCAGTGAGTGAATGTTCTAGGCACCCCGACTACCTCCATGGATAGCACCCCTTCGAAACTCCTGGTCATGTGTTCTTCCTTCCCTTGGTCCTCTGTTGACTTTGGCTGAAAAAAAAATCGATGCCACGACCATCTCCTCTTGCGACGATGATTCGAGTGGCCCTTTGGAACTGGCGACATAAGGCTCGTGATTCGAGAGATGCAACCGGTCCCGGTCTTGACCCATTTTTTTGGGTCACTGGATGTGTTTCCCCTTCTCAACTGCCTTAGAAGGCCTTCCATCTTTCGACCCTTGCCCCTCCCCCCGGTGCGGAAACCGTTCCAAACGAACCCACCGTGACCTGTTCGACCTGTTCGTTTGGACCCACCACGCCAAGGCACCTCTGCAGCTGAAGGATCTTGGGCAAGGCCCCGAAGCCCGCCAGAGGCACCAAGGCCACCGCGCAGCACCTGGCGCTGTGAGCGACTCGAGTCGCTCTGTGAGCGACTTCGGAAGAAAGAGACGAAGTCGAGACCTTCGTCTTAGACTGTTGGGTGGAAGAAAAGGCATCGGGCACATGCGAAGGTGGGGGTAGGCCACAGTTCCACAGGTCAGTCATCTACTACAGTTCCGCGAGCAGCTCGGTGTTCGAGGGATCCACCGGAAGACGACCTGCGCAAGATGACGACCTGAGTCCAGTGAAACAATGATGAGTCTAGTGACTTGTGGGATCCTTTTCACGCACACAGAAGTCCAGGTCGATACTTTTAGGTCAACAATTGGTTGATGGGTACGGAGCCATCCTCTGGGTACGGAGCCATCTGTTTAAATTGCGTGTTAGTCTTGTGCCATCTACTCTGAAAGTTACAGGAGCTCAGATTCTGCGTCCCAATCTCGAACGCGAAAAAAAACACCGTCTGCGATGAGTGATGAATTGGAATGATGCTTTGAAAGCAGCCGGGTCTCTTGATTTGACATGAAAACGGCAGATGCAACAGGTCTCCAGAAGTGCCTCTATGGTAGAAAGTTTGATATTAGTTATTGGTATTTGCAGGCGGTTTCAGGCTCCCAGGGCCTCACACAGCGTGCACATGTCAACGCCATGCCTGCCAGTGGCATGGTTTTGCACTCGATCCGTGCATCCAGAAACTGCCTGGGTGGTTTTGGCCTTGGCTTTCCCTCTGGAAAACCCAAGGGGCATCTAAGTTGGGTGCTGGAAAAGCACGATTTCGGTGGTGGACGTTCCTAGGGGAGTAACAGTCAATGGAGAATTTGAGTTGTCTTTTCGTTCGTGAACTTGTCACTATGGAGACCTATTGAGTTCCTTTGGAGAACAATTCATATACAGTAGATCTCCTTAGATCATATAATTAGTTCCATTGAGTGCCATGTGAATTGAGCACTCCTCGTGGCTGGGACCTTCGCTGCTATTAAGCCAAATGTGTCCTTCATCTACCCAACTCACATCACTTTTCCCCCACAACGACATCGCTTTCAGGTGAAACAAACAAACACATTTTGCCTTCACCTTTCAGCTGGAGTGAAAGACATGTGCGGTGAGTCACTCTTATAGCAATTTAATTCAAAGTCAGTGACTGTTATCAAAAGAATAGTCTTTGGGTGACACAAAAGGGAACTTCGTTCACCTCTCCTGTGCCTATCGTCATTGGAGTTCTAGTTCGGGACATACAGATCTGCCATTTCTACGTCCAACACAGATCTTCACTCCATCACGGCCCATGAATTCGACAAGTAATGATTGGACTCGCCAAACCGACATCTCTACCTTGAACAGTGCCCCTGATCATCGTTTGATAACGACATAATATCTTGACGACAGCAGGCCGCTATCTCAGCCTCTGAAAGATCGTGAGGCTCGGCTCATTAGCGTTCCACCCTTTAGTCACCCCATGTGTCCTATGTTGTGGAGAACATTGTCCAACTCGCCCAATCGACCCGACGTCCACCCGACCTGCAGGTTCGACGCCCGGCGAGGCCCTCGCCATGGCGCGCAGAGGCTAGAGCGGAAATCGGGCTTCGTTTCGCCCAAAAGAGGAGCTCCCTTGAAGCTTAAGCAGTCAGAAATATGACGAATGAGAACGGAATGATTTAATGGAAACCAACACCGGGCTTCTTGACCCACTTGAAAAGAAGTATTGGTTGAGCACCAGTAGCTCTTTCGCTACTGTGTCAACTGTGTGAACCACATGGTCTTCAGACGATCAAAGACCATCTTGGATCGCAACTGTAGATTGTTCGCTATAGTTCTAACGTGTTCTAACCTGTGCTTTCTCCCCACCCCAGGTCTGAAATATAGTGTCAGTCGGTGGGTGCAGCTTGCTATTTTAGACTCCTGTTCAATGAGATGAGTGATGAAAAAAGCAATTAAAATACAAAAACATCCCCAACTAAACTTGATCTC